TAATACTATTGTTTACAAGTAATAATTATTTTAATAGCTGGAAGGTTCAGAAAAATAAATTAGTGACCTATTTGAGGCGATATGAGACCTATTAGAGGCTTAAATATAGTTACTACGGCTATATTTTTAATAGATTAATAAAATAAAATAAAAAACATCATAAAATGTTATAACTCTATGTAGAATATGCATTTCTTTTTCGGTACATACTAATTTAAATCTATTTGTATGTATTTTATATCAAATTAGTGTATATAAATTTATAACCATTTCTAATTATACGAAGTGTACTTAAGCTCCCCTAAGAGACAATTTCGAACAAAAAAAACCTTTGAATTATCTGGCATATCTTCTGTCCACTTAATATGAAATTGAAAAAGGAAAACAATATTTATTAATATTCTGTGGCATAATTACACAACGCTATCTAGACCCAAGCTAAGGGAATGTAACATTTTAACATAATGCACATGTACAAAGGCAGACTTAATAGCCATGAGGCATTCTCTCCCAATCGGCCTTTAAGTGATGTAGAAATATGATCCGGTATATCTATCAGAGAGCTTATAAATTTAGGAGAAGCGAACAAGGCGCTATCGCATACGGTTGGTAGTGAGAGAAAGAAGATTGTTTTGGTCTTGAATCTCTCTCTCTGCTCTTGTCACTGATTGGCTATTTTAATGACCTCTTTAGTGTCAGCCAATCAATGCAGAGAGGAGAGAGATATGAAAGACCAAAACAATTTTCTTTCTATGTTCCGCTACAACTTACAGAGGAATATACTATAGTTATAATTATTATCTCTAAGATATTTATACTGATACGTCTAATATTTATATCCTTCTGGACTTCTATGTAAGTGAATTTATATATATTTTAGTTATATCTAATGTCAGATTTTATCTAAAAGTCAATTTTTTATGTACTACCTATGTCAAATTTAATATTTTATTTTTGCATTTACCGCATTATATTTCCACATCACCTGACGGTAGACTGTGAGAGAATGCCACATGGCATTAATTCCGCCTTTGTACAACATTTGCATTAAAGTTTAAAAAAATCAAATATATTATATAAAGATTAAAAAGTTTGTTTGTTTGTTTGAAAGCGCTAACCTCAGGAACTGCCGGTTCGAATTGAAAAATACTTTTAGTTTTGGATAGCCCTTTTATCGAGGAAGGTTATAAGCTATATAAGATCACGCTACGACCAATAGGAGACGAGCATAAATGAAAAATGTTGCAATAACGGGGCAAGTATTCTTTTTGAGGTATTCAGACAAAGTTGCAATGGGTAATTCCCGTAGGTATACGTAATTAGACTGTATTAACTAAATACAGTATAATTACGTATACCTAAGGGAATTAACACAATTATTATGAGTCAGCCTGCGATCACATCCTGTGCAACTCAGTCGAAACGTCAGGCAATTAATAAATTTATCATAAATTTCAAGTGAATTTTCAAGAATTATCGAGATTTTTTTCTTTTAATGTACACAAATTGGATATACACAAATGTTTTACTTAGAACCAACAATCTCAGACGTGTTCTGGAGTTCATAGTAGCAGCTAGATTGGATCCAGAGAGTGCTGTGTAACAAATCCCAAGTAAAATGCACTTACACAATATACATTGTTTACAATCTGTGTCAAATTATTAATTCGTTCTCTTAAAGCAAAAGGTCATAAAAAGTAGTATATTTTTTTATATATCATTAAAACTAGAAAATGATAAACACATTTTTTTAACTTAAAGTATTTTATAAGTAAAGTTTTAGATTAAGCAATCCATATTACTTCAATCACTGAAATATTTAACTTGTAAATCTTGGGTTTAGATTAAAATAAAACAATATACATTTAATTATTTATGATATTATATAAATAATTACATGTATATTATTATCATCCTATATAATTAAATGTTTATTTATATGGCTGCTAAAGAAAGCAGGTTATTTTTTTAAATAGTCAACAAGTAAATGAAAAGAAAATCACTAAAACAAAATCATAAACCTGAAATATCTGCAATTTTCATATGCAATCCAAACCAACTATTAACCGACTCCATAGACAGCTCTTAAAAAAATACCATATCAGTAAAATATAAATACAATTAAATACCAGTTCTCCGACAAAATAAAAAACCGTAACTAACTTACCAAAGACAATGAACTAGGGTTTCTAATTCAGATCATAAATTTAAACTCCATTACATAAGCATTATGAGTTGCCATCGTGTGGTTACGGGTTCAAACCCAATTGCTCTAACGTCGTGAACCATAGGGTAGTAAAAAGATTTGTTTAGCTAAAGAGGTTAATAATGTAAGGTAACAAACTAACGGATACTACGTTCCGCGTTCAAGTGGATGGGTTTACAAAGTACCATGATTGTTTACAGGGTGTAAGGGCTTAGATTTTCGTCACATAGTCATTATCTGTAGATATATGCAAATATGGCAAGCCCTGTACTAATAAAGATAAATATAAATCGTTGTCATTATTTCATTTTCTGTGTTCAAAAATGATTTAATGACATGAAAAACTAGAGGCTTAAGGGGACGGGAGATGAGTCTTGGCGTATACTAAGGGTTGTCACTGAGGGTAGTCAGGTAGTTACGTAGTATAGGTCCGTTCCCTAATCCAATATATAAAAAAAACTGACAAGCATGCATATATACTGCAGCACAAAATAACTTGAGACTATCATTGGCCCGTTTAACGAACAGTCAGAACCCAGACCAGTGATTGGTTACAATTAAAATCCTACAAATTTTTCAAAGCAAATTTTTTTTTTGATGACATTCACAGAATGAAAATAATCCTTCCTAAACACCCTAAAAACTAAATATTATTAAGGCTCTTTACAAACAATAAATAAGAGAATATTTTTTACTAGAAAACAAATTAAATTGGCAATTTACAATATATCCAAATATCAAACACTATCGCCAATTTTAAAAGGACGTAAGGTGACAACCGTTTTATGCGAGATCTACTCTTATGCCCTTTACATTAAAGTTGAAGATATATTGTAGTAATTAGTTACCTAGTCTCCTTCTTCTCATAACTCACTCCGTCTTAGAAAGAATCCTTTCTCAATCTTTGTATAAACCTTCACGACACATAATACATGTTATTTTGCTTTTATTTAATGGGATATTTAACAATTACGCGTTAGGTATATATCATTTATAAGATTAAAGTAAATAATGGCGCCACTGTGCACTGCGACCTATTTTTAAATATGTTTTTTAAGTGAATTACGTGAAAAGGGACGGAAATGTGTAACAGGAAGCCGGGGAAGCGTTCGCTATTTGATTTGACCAGTGAGCACTGGCCACTATTTAACTTGACCAATGAGCGCGCACCACTATTTAATTTGACCAATGAGCGCCCGCGACTATTTAATTTGATCAGTGAGCGCCCGCGACTATTTAATTTGATCAGTGAGCGCCCGCGACTATTTAATGTGATCAGTGAGCGTCCGCGACTATTTAATTTGATCAGTGAGCGTACAGTTCTCTGTCAGACAGTAAGGTGAGATGTCAGATCATACACAGCATATATCCGACTGCTGTAACGCTCTTTTGGCTTTTTTGAATATTCATGTAAGAAATTAACCACGTGACACGAGAATTAAAGCGTCGTTTTTTTTATTGTACATTATTTTTTACCGTTTTTCTTCTAGAGAACTATAAATTGGTAAGTAATTTTTAAGTAGATAGATTTGTTGGTGTAACTATGTAAAGTATTTAATGCGTTTATTACAATTTTAGTCCGAGAAAGATCTGTCAACCCGATTCTAGTAAGTTTGTTTTTTTGTATTTATAATGTTTTATGGAACATATGTTCTTTTATAGTTTAAGTTGAAGTTGAAATGTCCATTTAGTTGCTTAGTCAATTAAAATCTAAATGTTTGAATCGACTGTACATAAAAAGAAAATGCGTTCCCTCCTCTTTGACGTTCAACACAAGATTTTTTTGTCCTATCACCTAAATATAAAATAAAAATATATAATTTAATTAAATAAAAGATAAATAATTTAATTAAACCAAATGAAATTTCTTATGAAAAAGAGTCAGCAAGATTTATATTTTATTCAAACAGAAATGTTTTAAGGTCATAAAATAATTATAACGTTCAATAGTTGGCAACACTGTAACATTAACATTTCCATTTCGTAAATCATAAACAGAAAAGTTTTTATTTTATTACCGAATAACCGAAATTTAATAGCCAACAACATGTGAGATGTGTAGAAAGGGCCTCGGCAGAGTTCTTACTTGCAGTTATTGGAAAGAATTTCAATCCCCATCCCCATCATATTAAAACCTTTGCTCCAGGTCTGCTTGAGTTCACATTTTGGGTACTTAACAGCTTTTAGATAACAAAACTATTGTATTAAAGTACATAATATCATTTACTTGGCAAACCAAACTGAAATGATTTGACAGCAAGGTGTGACGTCACAGGTTGTTTTTTCGGCAACAGCAAGCTAAAGAAACCCCCTTGAAGGGATCCCTTGAATATCAATTTTTAAGTAGACAATGAAATAAATAATTTATCTGAATAAAGATATCAAATACCCAAAACGACTCTATTCTTTCCTATAATCACATTTCTTTTCAAGCATCGTTTCTCCAAACGACATGTAATATTCAAACAATTTGTGTCTAAACCCGGCGGGATCACCTGCTTATGGAGTCACATTTTCATTCAATCAAGTCACCTATTAACCAACTAGATTTGGATCTTGAAATTCAAGAAATGAAAATCATTTTTTTTAACACAGATAAAATTAAAAACTACATAAATGCACAAGAACGCACAAATACCAAAGAGTAGAAAATAGGTTTCGTTTAAATAAATACCTATTTACCTGTGTTTTAGAAGGGAAAAGTATAATAAAGTCGATAGTTATGTTAAGTCAGATCCAATATCAGTAATTTTGAATGAAATTATTCCAGGTGTTCCCGCTAGGTGTAGACACTTTAATCGTTCGTGTTCGACTTATTAATCTGTTCAATACTTATTTCCAATTTCTTTTTATTCTTCGACGGAACAGACTTTAAAATCAGGGGTTTGTTTAGTCTAAAGTTTTGAACTTTTGCCACGTCCACGTTAGAATTATTATGACTTATACTGTCAGGAGTAGGGCTGTCACCTTTTATAATTTCAGATTTAATAATAAGTGATTTCGGGCTGTTCAATGGTGGGATACAAACCACTTTTTGAACTGCAGGACTTTTTTTGGCAACCCTGGAATTTTTGATTGTTCTTTTTCGATATTTTTCAATTTTTTTAATATCGACTTTCCCTGACTCGTCTTTGACCAACATGAAGGAGTCGAACGGTTTCGCTCCAAGGGGTAGTTTTCCATCCCCTATGGTTCCAAAATTCCTGCAGGTCATTTTATTGGCTATAAGCATTGACAGATCTCCAATGTTGTATTCTGTTAGAAGGTCGTTCACGTTGGTGCCGTCAAAGTTCTTCGAATTGGGGTCAGCGCCATTTTCCACAAGGATTTCTATCGTTTTTCTAAAATGGTCCACCACTTTCGCCTTGTTGCCTCGTTCTGAAAAGTAATTAACTTTTAAAAAGTAGTCATTGTGATAAATGTAATAAACCGTTTTCTTTATTCCTTAATTTTCATTCTTAATGTTAGATTTTTTCCTTCAAATGGGTCCAAACGGAAATAATGCACTTCCCCCCCCCCCCCCTCTTCCTACATATTTCAAAACCTTTTCCAATTTTTATTATAAATGACGGAGTTCCGACATAACAAACATAAAAAAAAACAGACGTATTGAGAACTAACTCAAATTTTTAAAGTCGGTTAAAAACATATATTTTACTGGTACAGTCAGAACCTATCTTAATGGATCTGATGACCACATCCATACATACCAAAATATGCTCACGTCGTCCCAAGTATAACACCATGTATTATAATTGTTCACACATACAGGATGTAATAAAAAGCTGTGATCATTTTAAGTACGTAAATTAGACTCTTTAGTAAAACGCTAATATTTTTTTTTGGGAAACTTGTAATTTTAATTTAATAATCTTATTTTCAAACAGACAAATGTGTACTTCAAAATTGACCAAATCGTCCTAAAACCCATTTCTTATATTTTGTAACATAAGATACGTAACATTACATCGGGAGACCCGAGAGCAAAAGACGTCGGCGGCGTTATCAGCCGTCGACGGGGCCGCAGGCTGCCAGAGTGTGGCGACCTGGTGGCAGATTAACTGTTGCTAGGCGATAGGATGGCGGCCTGGTCGCAAAAATGCGATCGGGCCGCAACATATTATAAGGATTGGCCGATAGGAGGGGGTAGCCTTCTTTCCCCGGGATGGAACCTGACGGCGTCGATCCTGGGGGATACGAATCCTAAAGGATTCCCCCCCCCCCCCCCCCCCCGGTCATCAAAAAAAGATACATAACATTACAACGTAAAGGTTACAACATTAAGCCAATTACCAATAGTATCTTATCAAATCATACACAATTATTTCTAATTACTTCCGCGACAAAGGCCAGCTGCTTTCCAGTTACAAACGCACGTACGCACAAAATTATATTGATTATTCATTGATATGATAACACTGTTGTATCTGTTTTAGATACACATGTATGATAAAATATAAAAGAACAAGATAATGATTGAAAACAAACTTAAAAAAAATTGGTTGCCTGTAAAGTCGGTATACGGGCGAAAGTTTTACGTGACAACGACTTTGAGTGGTAAAATAATTTTACCACTCAAATGCATGCATGCCTTTCACTTTTTATGTCTGTCTCTCTCGCTCTTAGGCGGGCTAACCATGCCCGAGTGGAAGGGACGCGTGCCTCTCACTCGCTCTCATTGTGAGCGCATAACGTGAGCGGAGCGTAACGCAGTTTCTTGAAGTGTCACCCGGCAAACCAATTTATAAGACGTTGTCACGTCAACAAGACTGCGTGGCAATGTACACTTAAAATTTACAAACCAACGATTTTAATTACATTAAGACGAATCTTACGACATTCGCAAAAATCCATCAATCCACATTTATCATCATTATCAGTGACAGTATTTAATAGCCCATTGATGGACATAGGACTCTCCTTATAAAGGAGATTTTGGCCACGCAGGCTAGACGGGTTGGTATGGGGTTTTTCTTCTCTTTGCAGTGCTGTTGTCCTGCATAGTTTGCTAACTTAATCGGCTCTTACGCCACCCGCGGGATGAATAGGGGAGGTGACACTCCGTATTCTTAATCCGTCACTACACGGATAACCGCACTGCGTCACATTGCGACTGCACGGATGGCGAAGTGCTTCCTACTACGCGAGTGTTGTGGGTTCGATCCCCACTGGAACGACACTGTGTAATCCACAAATTATTGTTCTGATTCTGGGTGTTGTTTGTGTCCGTTTCATGTATGTTTGTAAAGGCCCCCGCGACACAGGATTTATTCCTAATGCGGGAGTTGTCTTTTTTAAAACACAAAGACATTAAAAATTGATATCTAGACCCAAATTAAGCATTAGCTTGATTCGTGGGCTCCAGGATGGATACACACTTGGATAGATTTTTACATACATATGTACGTGTTTGATTTTGCAGTATAGTTAATAAGTATCGGAGCGGGTAACCGCGATCTGTACGTGTCATAGAGACGTCGGTTTGGTAACTTCGCTCGGTTGACAAACCTTTGACAGTTGGCGTTGCTTGCGGTTTCCGACGTGATATTTAATTATAATAAACCTTACACATCTCACACACGGCAGTCTGATCCCAAACTAGACAACTAGACTGCTGATAAACATACTTATATATTTCTAAATACACACATATAGATAAATTACACCCAGACACAGAAAAAACAATCGTGCTCATCACACAAATATTTGTACTGGGTGGGAATTGAACCCACGACCTCCGGCTTAGCAGTCAGGGTCACTAACCGCTAGACCAACAGGCCTGTTAATGGTTTTATTGCCTTGCACCTTTGCCGATCTTGACATTTTTACGTATATTCGGGCTCTAATAACTTCTGATATTTTATCTCTTTATGCAACATACTGATCTACTAAAAACTAAACTATGTATAACAGTGATGTTACAACAGTGAGGACGTGGAAACCGATTGGCTCTTTAAGATTAGGTTAGATTCATCATTTTGACAAAAAACGGGCCTGTTGGTCTAGTGGTTAGTGACACTGACTGCTAAACCGGAGGTCGTGGGTTCGATTCCCACCCAGGACAAAAATTGTGTGATGAGCACGGTCATTTGTTCTGTGTCTGGATGTAATTTATCTATAATATGTATGTATTTAGAAATATATAAGTATGTTTATCAGCGGTCTGGTTACCATAGTACAGGCTCTGCCTAGTTTGGGATCAGACAGCCGTGTGTGAGTGTGTGGGGATATATTATATTATTATTATATTTTTATATTTATTTTGTAATTCTGCCTTGTACTTATCGTAAACGGTTGATTACAATGAGACATTTTAAATCACCAGGTGATTTATTTATCACACTGAACAGTCAAGATGGCGGATATTACTCAACAATATTTGCCTAAGATATACATGACAGCCATATATGTATCTATATAGATTACACTCATTCTTATAAAAGGGGTAGGCAGCGAAGAGGTACTTCAGGGTACCAGGGATTTCCTTTCTAGAGTATACCAACTGGTTCCCCGGCTGTTGGTACCCGAGAGAGCGTGCGGTTTTTGGTCCGTTCAAGTCCGATATAACCACCGGTGGGTGGTATCCGAGGGGTAAAAGGCACTTCAGGAATTAAATAAATAAATGGGGAATTTCTTAAAATGAAGAGAGTAGGTTATAAGGGAAGGGGTATTAAGATCACACAATATTTGTGCTGGGTGGGAATCGAACCGACGAACTCTGGTATAGCAGCCAGTATCACCACATCAATGAGCCTGTCAAAAGTATGTATGTAAGTACCTGTGCAGTCCATACAAGCTGCTCCCACAGCTAGATACAGGGCGGTATTCCCACTGCTGGGCATCTTAACATTCACCATGTCCGGGGCCGTTTCAACTAAAATTTTCACATTCTCGTACATCCCTAATTTGGCGGCTAACATCAGAGGAGTATACCCTAAAAAAATAATAAATAATAATAATAATAATATTTTATTGAATAAAGTTAACCATACAATAAGCAGAAAATTACACAATGACTACATTTAACAAAACAATAATAAGTTGTAATGAGTAGTATGGCATTCAATTATATAAGCCCCCTGATCCTCAAACTAGGATTTCCTGTTTTTTGAGAATCAGTGGTTCCGCCCTGCGCAATGCATTATAGGTAAACTTAAATTATTCTACATGAAAATGTAACATGGTTAGATTGGGTAATGAAATAGGTCATATATGCGTATGTATGTGTGTGTGTGTGTGTGTGTGTGTGTATATATGTGTAAGTGTGAGTATGTGTGGGCGTGTGCGTGCGTTCGTGTGCTTGTTGTGAGTGTGCGTGTGCAAGAGAGTGTACGTGTTTATCTGTGAGTATGTATATCTACGTCTGTCTTAGCAAACTACAGTAGGTTCTCTGGGTCGTGGTAATCAAGAGAGTGTATATATAAATCTATATACAGGGATGTATGTATAAATATTAATCTATATACAGGGATGTTAGGTAAACGCCGTCGAAAACGGTAACGTACGATAGTCCTAAAGATACCTTTGATGATTATTTAAAAATAAAATCCAACAAATAAAAACATCTTTTTACAACATGTTATAAGCATTATTCAAGGGTTAGTACATTCAACACATCACAAATCACATCAACAGCCTTTACTAGTCCACTGCTGGACATAGGCCTCTCCTTAGAAAGGAGGTTTTGGCCTACTATACCACGCTGGCCAGACGGGTTGGTACAACTTAATGTAACGATAATTTTATGGAAAATGCATCACTTGACTAAATAACAGTGGCACTCCGGGCCTGCCGACGGAAGTGAAAACTTCTATACAGAGGTGTCGGTAACGGTAACAGTGTCGCGAGATCAATTGTTTCTTCCCATCTCAAAAAATGCCCAACGCGCCTAAAGAAGTTTTTACTTCAACAGAGGTGTCGGTAACGGTAACAGTGTCGCGAGATCAATTGTTTCTTCCCATCTCAAAAAATGCCCAACGCGCCTAAAGAAGTTTTTACTTCAACAGAGGTGTCGGTAACGGTAACAGTGTCGCGAGATCAATTGTTTCTTCCCATCTCAAAAAATGCCCAACGCGCCCTAAAGAAGTTTTTACTTCAACAGAGGTGTCGGTAACGGTAACAGTGTCGCGAGATCAATTGTTTCTTCCCATCTCAAAAAATGCCCAACGCGCCCTAAAGAAGTTTTTACTTCAACAGAGGTGTCGGTAACGGTAACAGTGTCGCGAGATCAATTGTTTCTTCCCATCTCAAAAAATGCCCAACGCGCCTAAAGAAGTTTTTACTTCAACAGACGTGTCGGTAACGGTAACAGTGTCGCGAGATCAATTGTTTTTCCCATGTCAAAAAATGCCCAACCTAAAGAAGTTTTTACTTCAACAGACGTGTCGGTAACGGTAACAGTGTCGCGAGATCAATTGTTTTTCCCATGTCAAAAAATGCCCAACCTAAAGAACTTTTCAATTCAAAAAAAAATTATGGTAGTTATTGGGGGACAAACAAGCAGACGGGTCATTTGATGGTAAGTGACTACCGCCGCCCATGGACACCTGCAACTCAAGAGTCACAGCAGTGCGTTGCAGCCCTTTGCGTCCTCCCCCTAGAGTCAGAGGGAGGGAGGGGGCGGTTTGAGCTCTAATAACCTCATTCACTCGGTGAAAAGCGAGGAAAGAACTACTTAACACCGGCTCATGATTGCTGAAGCATGGCTTTCGCACAGTAAAGTAAATTAAAATAAAACCAGCAGCAGTGCTATTCTCTAAGGAAACATCCTTGCGTAGAGCGCTTTTTATTTTTTTAAACTGCGCCTGTAATAGGAGGGGTCCGGAAACTACTGTTATTAAGACATCCGGACCACCTCTGCGCCTGCCCGCAACGGCAACGCAACTTAGTTCGAAATTTGACGTTGTAACAGCTCTGTAGCGTTGAATTTCAAATGAACTTAGTTTGAAGTTCGACGCTGTGGCGGCGCTGTACGCAAGGCTGTTTTCTTAGAGAATAGCACTGCTGATTGGGAAGCTAATGGAGCGTGAATAATGCTAAGAAAACGTTATAAAAAGATGATTTTTTTTCATCAGGATCAATTTTTTCTGACCCATAAAGCTTTTATTAGTACTGTCGCTTTTCTTGGGGAGCGTTTTATTAACAGCCTGTGTAATACGTATAAAGACATCAAGACATTTTTTACGATTTAACATTAATTCTAACACACTTATTACTATGACAACAACACACACGTCTAAATATACTACAGCGCCATCTAGTGATAACATGTAGAATTATTTAGTTAATATTGATCCTACACCGCACATGAACAGTTTTCGCGTTGAGTAGTAAGTACGTGTAATATCGGGGGCTACCTTTTGTTAGAAGGATATTTACCAATATACCACGCAATGTTTTGTTTCGTTAAAACGCTTTTTTAGTTTTGCATCTAGTTGAAGTCTGACTGTTTTACACCAGCGCGCTAACAGTGTCAGATTCTTACCTTGTTCGTTAGATAGCCCATTGATATGCCTAAACAATATTTTCGCTAAATCTTTATCTGATTCTTTTGCATATTCCTGTTTCCATAATACTTCGCTTTCTTCTAGAATTTTTCTGAAAAAAAGAGTCATTAATGAATATTTTACTTTGAATTATCATTGTCGGGTTTTGTTAAAGATCACTTAAAAGTTCATTATTTATTATATTAAAATAAAATTTAAAAACGTAATTTGTTTTTTTTTTTCACATACCCAGTGTCACTCACAATTAAGACGAATCCAACGACAACTCAAATGCCTATGCCACACACTACAGAATACTACTACTAAAGAACAAACACTAGGAAAATTTTACCTTCCTTTTGACGCAGTCGAGTAGACAGTAGCCTACATACTATACCAAAATATAAAAGTGTGAAAAATTTAATCCAGATCCGTTTATGCTACAGCGCGTGCCATTACAATATACATCCATATATATATATATATATATATAGAAAGGCATAACCGTCCTGGCGCAGTCGGATAAAAAGTACAGGCAAATGGTGATGAAATATCAAATCCAATTTATAGTACCTTATCTTGGTAATAATAAGATATAATATGGGGATTCCGCGAGTCTTATCACAATATGCTGATTTCGTACCAAAGTCGTATAGGACATTAATAATAAAATTTCAAATAAAGTTTGTGCATTAACACTCCTATATTAAAAAATGTGTACAAACAGAAAAAACATTATGGTAGTGTCAGTGGAAACTCGATCGAACTTGTGTTAAGGGTACCAGGACTCTCTCAGCTTATAGACTTGTTAAATTGTCATAGGATGGATCTTGATTTGGGTGGATATATAATAATACAATAGGGGTAATATAATAAAATTGCCGTTGTATAGTAATAGATACTTTGAATTGACATCAAACCTTCATGGTGTGAGATTTTCTTGTGAAACTTTTTCAGATAATAAAGGTTCTTCTTTAAAAAAATGTGCAACATTCGATTTTCGACTTTTAATTGTTTTTTTTCTTCAGCTTATACGTAAAAGTTGGATACTTCGAAAATCCAAGAAAATTTTGAATACGAGTTCTGACGCCTAACTAACGCGATAGAAACGGCTCGAAATATCAACGCTGCGTTTGGAGAGAAGACTGCAAATGAACTCACCGTGGCGTTTTTGGTTTAAACCCTTTTTTAATGGAAACTTCGACTTAAAGAACGAACCATGTGGAAGACAGCTCAGACACAGGTGAATAACGCTGATTTGAAAGAGATGGTGGAAGCCGATCCGAGTTAAAGCCTAAAGCTTAAACCACTACGCTATCCGTGCAGATAATTTTGGAGACAGGAGTTTGGGCTCTGGTAACCCACTCAGTCGGTGAAAACCATCATCAGAATTGCTTATAAGCCGTTTTCTGTGAGGTCGTGATATCTCTAGGATGAATATGTGCCGACTGCCTAAGTAAGGGTCTTCCACGGTTCGTGATACGACGGCTTCAAACAACCTGTAAGGATAACAATCTGAAGCAACTCACCTGGCATTAAGCCGGCAATGATTGAGGAGTACTTGTAAATGGTCGGTGGCCATTTCAGCTGCTATGTGGAAGTTCGTCCTGTCCTGAGCGTCACTGTCAAGAACATCAGCGTTGTACTGGAGTAGCAGTGATGTAATTTGGACGTTTTCTTGGTACAGTGACATTCTTAGGGGAGTCTGTAATGAATCAGATAATATATGAAGTGCATACATATATTCAAGACCAAAGATGAGTGGCTTGTTGGTCTAGTGGTAAGTGACCCTGACTGCTAAGCTAGAGGTCGTGGGTTCGATTCCCACCTAGGACAAATTGATGAGCACGATCATTCGTTCTGTGTCTGGGTATCATTTATCTATAATATTTATGTATTTAGAAATATATAAGTATGTTTATCAGCTGTCTGGTTACCACAGCACAGGCTCTGCCTAGTTTGGAATCAGACGGCCGTGTGTGAGATATTATTATTCCGAACTTCCATAATTAATCATCCCTTATTTTACCCCCTTAGGTGTGAAATTTCGAAAAAACTACTATCTACATATAAAGCATCAGCTGGCAAAATTTCAAGTTATTAACCCCAATGGTTTAGGGTCTGCGTTGATGAATCAATCAATCAGGGCAAGTACTCGTAATTCTATGTGTATAGACTCCTAAACCAGGCAATCTAATTATTATATTATTCTCCAACAGGCACTGAAAGGTAGACGGAAAACCGCAATGAAACAATACTATATAATAATATAGATTTTCAGAACGTGAGGTGTATTTCCCCCCACGAGCATATGGAATTGAACAGGAAGTCCTAACTTGAGTCGCATTTCAATCCGACAGTGATAACGTTACACAGAATTTCGTTATTAAAACTATTTATTGCATGTTATTCTTTACTATCGAATGTTTCAATGAGGAAAACGTTATCAAGGTATATCTGTAGCCCTTTTTGTGGAGAGGAGTTGGGGGGAGTTACCTTCGGTATGACTAAGATACGTATACGTATAAAATTAAGGACAAAGATATTTATTCCAAAGAAAACTGTGTTACATATATAGATGTTTTGAGGTTGTTTTGAGAATGTTTTTTTTTTCGTGTGGAACGATGACGGAAAGTTGCGGCTGGTATTAGTCCGAACAATTCCTCGCAGGACTCTACGAGGAATTGTTAAGTTTGAAATTTTCAAAGTTACAAATAAAAAATAACCATAGTACAGAACACGAATCAACGATGACTGATTTAAATATACTCCACCATTGCTTGGAATACACTTTTCTTTATCAGACCCCAAGAGTTTCCTTCGTTTGATTTAGGGTTTATGACCATGTCGACTCAACCATTGATACTATTGTAATTATTACCAACATTAAATTTAAATAAGTAATGGCAACTCAAGTTTATTGCAATTTTATGGCAATAATCGGCATTCACTTCTTCCCTTTCTCCATTATCCACCGAAGCGAGAATATACGACTCAAGATTATTAATGTTTTTAGGGTCCGTCCGTCTGTCTGTCTGTCTGTCCGTCTGTCACCAGGCTGTATCTCACGAACCGTGATAGTTAGACAGTTTAAATTTTTACAGATGATGTATTTCTGTTGCCGCTTTAACAACAAATACTAAAAACAGAATAAAATAAATACTTAAGTGCTGCTCCCATACAACAGACATGATTTTTTGCCGTTATTATAGATAATGGTACGGTCGGCTTAAGCCTGATCAGGTATGTTGAAAGGATCTGCTTTTTTTTTAAAAGAATATTACCATGAGAGAGCCGGTCTTCCGAGTTGTATGTATAACTTATCAGTATTTGATCAGTCTGATTTTTTGGCCCCTTTGAGTGCAGCAGTCCGTGTGGTGACGGATTAAGAATACGGAGTGTCACCACCCCTCCTATTCATCCCGTGGGTGTCGTAAGAGCCGACTAAGGGAGCAAACTACGCAGGACAACAGCACCGCAAAGAGAAGGCAAACTTGAAACAAACCCTATACCAACCCGTCTGGGGAGTGTGGTATAGTAAGCCAAAACCTCTTTTCTAAGGAGAGGCCTATGTCCAGCAGTGGACTAATAAAGGCGCTTGATGAATGCAGGTGACGTTACTCAGAAGCCGTCATATCTTGCCATTTTTGAGTCACTCTACAACTGCCTATGAATTACTCCAATAATAATTCTATGAGTCATTAGTTACTGATAAATTTCATAACATTGATGAGTCTTTGATATTTTCTTATCGTTGATTTTTCATCTTAGGAATACCCACAAATTAAAAGTTCAAAATATCGATAAAGTCAAATTGTAGTATAATATTTTGGCTGGTTTTTAGAAACATATTTAATCCCTCAACATATTTTTTTTTTCTTTGAAAAAAAAGAAAACTCTCGCACTAGGAATATATCCTGTGTCGCAAGCTGTCGCAAGGGACTTCACAAACTCAGGACTCAGAACGAAAATTTGGGGTTCACACAAAGTGTTGTCCTATATGGGGATCGAACCCACAACACTCGGTGTAGTAGAAAGCGGCTTGGCGACCGCTTAAACCACTACGTCATCCGTCAGATATTTCTTGATCTCTCTCGATAATTTTTTTTTGTACTATATCCGTATAAAGGTTGTCTGTAAGAGATCGCCGTGAGCAATAAGACCGCCTATTGGTAGGCAAACCAGAAGAAGTCAAAAATGATATCAAACCCATTTTATTTTTTATTTTTTCGGACATCTGACACACAACGCCATCTAGTTTCAAACTAAGCAGAGCTTGTACTATGAAAGCTAGATTGGTAGATATTGGTAAGGTAATTATTATTATATGTATATATTATACATAGAAAATACACAAAAACCTCGGCACAGTAGTCGCATACTCGTACGCTACAAGTGCACCATCGAGGCAGTCTTTTATTGTATTATTATTACAATAAAATGCAATAAATAGAGATACTACGCAAATACCACATATAAACAAGATAAGTATCTACTAAGTAAATAATATTTATGTATATACGCTGCATCTTATGCGTTGCCGCGCAGTTAGAATTATAAACATTTATGTTAAAACACAAGCGCGGGAATTCCCCGACTACAAACTATAGTAATTATAATTTATGATCAGCTTTCTGTCGAGACCTAACATTCGTATTCCGTAGACCTAACAAAGAACCTGTGTGTTTTCGCCGTGTGCTGTCTGTCTTAATAAACTCAACTCAACTCAAACTTTCTTTATTTCATAAAATTTTCAAAATTGTTTGAAATCGTCTTCCATGTAGACTCTAAAGTCATAGATCAACACACACAAAAGCAACAATCTCTGTTTTGTCAAATAGTAACCAAATAAATTTAACAAAAATCAAACCCATACAAAATCTATGATATGCCTGTGCCGATCTACAACCGCCCGTTTCCAAGGGGTTGAGCCTTATGAGAAGAAAGGGCAAACAAACTCATGGCCACTCTTTTGCAATTCACAGGTAGATACAATGGCACTATTAAATATATCACAACATTGTTTCATCAAAACATTGTTGTAGCAAACGTAAATAAAGTTGTTACTTGGTATGGAAATGGGTGAAATTAACGAATAAAACATGTGCTGACGGATTAAGAATACGGAGCGTCACAACCCCTATTCATCCTGTAGATGTTCTAAGAGGCGACTAAGGGAGCAAACTACGCAGGACAACAGCACTGCAAATAGAAGGAAAACTTAAAACAAACCCTATACCAACCCGTCTAGCCAGCGTGGTATAGTAGACCAAAACCTCCTTTCCTCTTTCAAGATGAATATTACATTTAAGGAACTTACCATGTTATCTGCTGGCAGATCTACTGAAATTCCCTTCATCTTCAGGACCAGGCATTGACGTTTTAATAGAACCAAGTTGTTTGTCAAAACAGCCGCGTGGATTGGCCTGAAATTATATGGAAATAAAATAATAAGCACAAATAAGCAGTTCATGTTTTAGGGGAAAAAGATAAGACAGATCACCTGATGGTAAATTACCACCACCGGAAAAGGACACCTTTGTTTTTTTTTGCCGAAATCCCCTCGGATACCGCCCACCGGTGGTTATGTCGACCGGAACCGACTAAAAACCACACGCCGTCTCGGGAACCAGTAACCGGGGAACCAGGTGCACCCTAGGAAGGAAATCCCTGGTACCCCGACGGACCCCGGACCATCTACGGTTTGTACGGTTGTCTTGTGTGTGGGAACCACGGTGTTCTCATTCAACAATCTAACCTAAACCTAAGGGGCTAAAGTTTTAATTTGATTTAAGTTTGTGTTGGAATTTTGTGACATCTCCGGAGGTGGACGTTCATAACTGTCACAGTTGCAAACTACTACAGTTTTTCTCTTGCACAATTGTAATGTACTGACTGCACGGATGGCGTAGTGGTTTAAGCGGTCGCCACGCCGCTTCCTACTACGCCGAGTGTTGTGGGTTCAAACCCCACATGGGACGACACTTTGTGTGATCCACAAATTGTTGTTCTGAGTCTGGGTGTTCTTTGTGTCCGTTTCATGTATGTTTGTAAAGTCCCCCGCGAGACAGGATTTATTCCTAATGCGGGAGTTGTCTTTTTAATAAAACAAAAAAAAAAAAAAAAAACAATGTAGCCTAATTTTTGTAACCAATAAATATATTTATTATATTATAGAGAATGTTGGAGATTTGGACTCAGGTAACCTCAGCCACGGGGTAAAAAGTACCGGAAAGACTGCTTACTAGTGGTTTTCTGTGAGGCCGTGGCATCACTCCGGTCGAGCTAGCCCATAGTGTAGAACCCTTGGTTCTCCCGTGTATAAATACTATTGCAGTCCGGTCCTGTTTCCCCATCCAAGCATTGCAGATCCCTCCGTCCCTCCCTCTATCCGTTTTCCTAACCCCAATTAACTTTCTGCCTTATTAAAGTTTTTGTCAGTAGTTGTAACCAATTATCTACAATGATAATATCTTTGGGCAACTGACACAACGCCATCTAGTATCGAACTTACCAGAGCTTAAACTGTGAAAGCTAGATTGACTGATAGAGTACTTTTTTTTGTAAATACATACGAAAAAAATATTTGCAGATCATTAAAACATTCCGTCCCAGGAATCGAACCTGAGACCTTTTGCACAGCAGTCGCATACGCTGCCACTGCACCACCATTAAAAGTTACTAGTTATCTCCCTCTGGCACGAATCCGAAGTAAAACGTTGTTAACCCGGGGGACAGTGTTAAAGGGACTACTGGGAATAATTGGATAAGTCCGTTAATATATTTTACTCCCTTATTGGATAAGTTTCTCAAAAGAAATAGCTATCCCCTTATTTATACCAGTGATTACGTCGGACTCGAACCGACCAAAAACCGCACGCCGTCTCGGGTACCAGTAGCCCTGGAACCAAGTGTACCCAAGGAAAAAAAATAACTTTTCCCCCATTGGTCGTAGCGTGATCTTTCTCGATTAATGAGTTATCTAAAGAATTTTTCAATTCGAACCAGTAGTTCCTGAGATTGGTGCGTTCAGCTTTATAATATTAATACAGATTATATTGCATCGCAATTTAGATAATTTTGATCAACATTCGCGCTGCTAAATACACACAATGCAAGTTCAACTATTTTGCTGTATGACGCTTAGATAAGAACGCCACATGTACAAATATGAGATAAATATTGAACAATCGTTCGTATTTCCCCTGCTTTATTGTTTACTAGAGAATTAATTGACCAGTATATCTTGAGCTGTCATTATAATAATACCTACATAACTTCACACATCACACACACAGCCGACTGATCTCAAACTAGGCAGAGCCTGTACTAAGTGTACTATGATAAACAGATTGCTGATAAACATACTTATATATTTCTAAATACATACATATCATAGATAAACAACACGCTCAGAACACATGTTCGTGCACATCACACGATTAATTGTCCTGGGTGGGAATCGAATCCACAACATTTGGAATATATATCCTGTGTCGCGAGACTTTACAAACATACATGAAACGGACACAAGGAACGCTCAGACTCAGAACAATTTGTGCGATCCACAAAATATTGTTCCATGTGGGGATCGAATCCACAAAACTCTTACTGTGACCGCTTAAACCACTACGGCATCCGTGCAGTCAGTTCACAGTAGATTACTGTCGTCGGACGGGCGTCTGTTAAGTACATAGAGATATTAGCATAGAGAGAACTCGGAGTTCAGCTGCCTGTAAGTGGACGCGATACAGGCAACGAGAAAGATGGATACCCGATGATTCCCTTTGTCTCTGTTCAGCTAAGCAGCGATTGGTTATCGTGTAGTGACCATGGTTTAAATCGTAGAACAGGCGGGAGATTAGAAATTTCAACAGCCAACCACAGAGCTAGACTAGAAAGAGATAGAGGGAACTATCAATTATCCATCTCTATTGTTGCCTATATTGCAAGATTGGGGCTCTTGTTCACTCTATGCTTCACATCGAATGCTAGAAACCTGCTATAAGGGGTACAGCAAAAGCGGAAATCCCTACAGCAGGCTATGATGTAAGATGATGACAGTATTAATAAAGGTATCTTTAGTCATCAGTTACATCACCATTGAGTCACCAATGACCATGACGGGCTTTGTGTCAAGTGAACAGTGATCTTGACTTCTAAGTCAGAGGAGATCCCATCCAGGACATAAAATTGTGTGATGAACATGATCATGGTTCTGTGTCTGGGTATAATTTATCTATAATATGTATTTAGATAGAAATATATAAGTACTAGTTTAAGCCTACGGCTCCACCCGTGTGTATATCGGTCATCGCGTTAAAAAGTAGCCTACGCCTTTTATCAAGAATCAAACTATCTTCATACCAAATTTCATCTAAATTGGTTCAGCATTTATATACTTCCACACCCCTTAATCGATGATTTCTAGGATAAAAACTATCCTATGTCCTTACCCGGGACTCAAACTATCTCTATTTGTGCAACAGTTTAAGCGTAAAAGTTAACAGTCAATTACAAATTAGCATTTATAATACTAGTACGGAAGTGAGGATGTTTATTTGCAGTCTGGTTACTATACTAGAGCCTCTGCCTAGTTTGAGATAAACTCAAAGGTTGGGTCACAGTTAATGGCTGTCCGACCCAGCCTTAAGGCAGGATTATGGACTGGACCGGACAAAGCTTGCCACCATGGCAGTCAGTGTCACCCATGTGCCAAGTCATTATATAATTTAATTAAAATGGCATTTCTAATGTCTGGAAATAAATTTTAATTTAAAGGAACTTACTAACAACTTAAGGCTTATTGAAGAAGGAAGGCCTATTGTCCTACAGGTTGAAATTAGACACAGAACGGCTAGTATAAAATAACTTAAAGCAAAATTTGATTAAATACTTACAGGTGGCCACTTTCATCATGTTGCAGGCAGTTGTTGTAATCATACAAGCCTTGTTGCAATACCATATTCATCCGTTGATGTAGTGGTGTAACGGGCACTGTTTTGTTTAAAGGTGGACATTTATTGTTAATATGATTAAGTTTTCCGGAATCGAAATCATGGAGCGTATACATTTCTTGTTTTTGGCTCCCGTTGGGTTCCTGTGTAACTTTATCAACGTTAGCCATGATCATACTGTAGGGGTTATCGAGGAGTTCTGGTGTTGTTGTAACCGATAACGCTGAGAAACTGCTGTTACTGTGGTTGCTGTTGTTCGAGTCACAATCAATTAAGGTTCCGTTCCCAAGGTCTGGCAATTCTTCCTTCTGAGATTCTTTTTTCATGCTGCCAACGTTCTTTAATATTGTACTGAAATTGCTTGGTGGTATTATTAGTCTTTTTGGTTTCTTCTGTTCCGGTACATCTCTTATAACATATGGTGTTAACTGACTTCTCTTTGCTCTGCGTCTTAAAGTATTCTTCTTATATGTATCTAAGTATGATTCGTCAGTTTGACAATGCACTTCCATTTTTTTATGATAATTTTCGGTGGCACTATTTAATAAAACTTTTATATCGTCAACTTGACAACCGCAAGTATTTGTCGTCTTAGGAACTGTAAGAAGAGAGTATATCCCACGTATTCTTAACTCCTGATTTATAACTGAACACAACGCACTGAACAGGGTGTCATAACTACGCTGGCCGATAATTTTTGTGATATTATCCGATGTTTTTTCATACACTTCACCAGAATGCGACTTGCACTTGGCTATAGTACGTGAAGAATTGTCACTTTTATTTAATCTATTCACTATAGTTATCTCACGGGCATCCCCGGACAAAAAATCCCCGGGTTTCGATTCGTACAACACGTCCTCTTGAAATTGAACAGTTTTGAAAACCTTTACATGACCTTTGAACGGTAAAATATCCTTTTTAAATACAATTTTATTGTTTAATAACAAAGGTAATTTGTTATTGGTTTTTTTTATTGTGATCGCTTTCAGTTCGTGCGACATTTTTAACACTGTTAGATTTTATTACAATTTAAACACAAAACAGTCTTGTTATTCGAAATTATTATTTATCACTTGACACCACATCGTACACATCCAACTGACGGTGTTTTACACAAATTCTGTTTCATGATTCGGGGTAACCCCCTATAGTTCTACATAACTACGTATACGAAAGATCACGATAAACTGACAAGAAGTACAGTATTTATGGTTAAATGTACTTTATGTTCACCGATCGTAGTAGGAGTCGGAATGCAGTCGTGTCGTGGTTCCTTAAATAATTTTCTAAACTAGTTGTCATGTTAAAGCGTTAATTTGGCTTTCAGTGAGGTTGGAAAGTAAAGTCGATAGTCTTCTTCTCTTCTATTTCACATTATGATTTCTTTTAGAGTAAAGTAATGCAGAGATAATTAAATGCTATGAATCCATAAATTGTTTATTTAAGCGGTCAAGCATAAACCTGTGAAATTAGTTAAAATAATGATACTTTTTTATGGGATTTTAACACATGCTTCAATTCGAATAACTTCCATTACAACCTTTTATCAAAAAAAAAATGTTCTTTTGTAATTTGACAGCAGTTGCAAGGTTATTTACTTAAATTAATGAAAAAGGAAACTGCGTTATAATAATAATAATCTTTATTGCATTTAAAATTACACTCACTGTTGAGGTACAATATCACAATAGTACAAAATCTATGACACTGACGGTACTAAATGCTGTCTACCAAACTAGGTGAGGCCTGTATTTTGGATGACAATATCCAGCCGCAGGAAAATATACATGTAAGATTACGCTAAAGTGAAATATATCCGCTCGTATGCCCCTGTCATGGCGCCCGCGGCGTCCAGAGTGCCCGCGACTCGCGAGCGAGACCGTCTAGATTGCCCCGGCACAAATACCGACCACCCGTAAAGTGCCCCACTGTTTTTTGCGTTATCGACGCGCGCGCCGTGTTCCACTTAATCGGTTCTTGTGACTAAAGTTTGTATTGAAAGGGTGTCAAGTGTTATATTTATTTAGTTGCCTATGAAATTAGCTAAACAATGTTATCTTTCTATTTACAGATTACGGCTCTGGTGTTGAGTTACACTGTGTTGAAATTGAGATAACGTCTTTTTAAGCTCGTGTTGCACTTCGAAGCTCATAGTTCAAAAATGAAAGCGATGACCTATGGTTTTTAATGTTTAATTATGTTGTTTAGATAGTAGTTAATATGTTATGAAATAAAACCATATACTCTCCCATACATATTTATTTATTTACAGGCCTCTAAATCCTTACCATTATCGGCCGCCACGCGGCATAATTTATGTAAGACTTAACAAGGCATATCGTACACAAATATCATTGTTAGGAATATAAATAAGGTATAACTATATAAGTAGTCTTATATTCTTTTATTACAATCAAAAACAATAGGGATAACATACACCACTTTTGAATAATATGAACATTTCTGAAACAGTTCCCATGCTCTCAGTAACATAACTTAGTTTTCCAGATGTTTTTTGTTCTACATACTAAACAAAACAAAAATAACATTAACATTGCCTTATAATACATTTAATATCCTTTTCATTTAAATTTCACCAACACACATTTAAATTTCACCAACACACAAAATAATATCACAAAGAAATTCCAACACAGTCACTGCACGGAACGATTCGAAGACTGATGAAATGACAGAAGTTTTATGACGTATAATTCTTTTTTTTACTAGTGTTTGCATGCTCGACTGAGATTAATACCATAGATAATATATCAGACTATAGAAAAAATATTACTAAAGAGCATTATGTCAATACAATTACTGTCAAATACTAATTAATCTGTGGCAGGAGCCATGTAGACTACCGGTCTACACGGGCACTTTACGGTTTTATTTTTGTAGACTACTAGTCTACACGGGCACTTTCCGTTTTTATTTTTGTAGACTGCTAGTCTACACGGGCACTTTAGGATTTCGTTTTTGTAGACCACTAGTCTACATGGGCATACTAGCGGATAAGGCACTTGTAATACAGGTACATAGCAATAAAATAAAATAGGTATAATAAAAACTGTGTGTGTTTGTGTTACCGTGTGTGTGAATCGAGTGTGAAAAGCGCGAAGATGCCTTGTTGATCACATGAGAGTAGAATGAAATAAATTATTTGATTTTTCTAAATATTTACGAAGTATTTATTATAATATAGTATAGTTTGCTTACGACAGAAGGATTTGTGATCATACTTTCGTAAGTTGAATATGAATCAAATGCAATTGTTGAGAAGTCGGTCTAGTTTATTGAGCAGATCTGCATTCAGGTCGAGGTAACACACATCACCGTAGTCTATGACTGGGGGAACCAAAGTCTGTATTAACAACGTCTTCGTTTTCGTGGGAAGAAATTTTTTAGGCGATAGAGGCCACGCAGAATGTTTGTGATCTTTTGACTGAAACTAGATACTTGTGGTTGCCAACTCAGAGTTGTGTCTATGTGCAGGCAAAGATCCTTGACCGATGGACTAATGGGCAACACTCTACCATTGAAAAAGATATTAATGATACCATCAGGATCAATTCTCCTCGTCGTGCAAGGCCTCCCTATGATGATCGCTGATCATTCGCACTATTATCACTTAGAGGTTAACTAACTATTATGTTACACAAAAATGAGAAATTGCGTCATTGAAAAGTTGAATCTTACTAAAATTCAAATAAATCGAAATATTTAGGTTAAAGTTAAAATTGTAATTAAAGATTTTTTTGAAATATAATTGTGTATTTTATTTAAAATTGTTAAAGATAAAAAAATACTATCCATTCTTTACACATTTCTAATCCTTATTTATTATCAAGGGTCAGTGTTGGCTGACAAATATTTGCATAACGACGACATTTGGCAATGTAGTGGTTCCCATCCACTAAATCGGACCATAAGATATTTCTAGTCGTCCAGTGTAAAAAGTTTTTAAACGTTACACCGAGGCATTCCCCCGTCACTATATTTCGTTCCACGGACTTAATATTTATCCATGACCTGTTTTGGTATTTTTTTTTTAGTTATATCAACAAAAGATAATTATTTTAGTAAAATAACAATTTAAATACACAATGAAGTTAGATTATCAGCATTAATTTTTGAAAATAGTGGTTCCAGATTAAAATTTAAACAAAGCTTTTCAATTCAATCATTCCGTGAAACGAAATAGCATAAGTTCGTTCCGAATATCTTATTAGAAAAATATTTTTAAAAATTGCAACTTTTCTATTAATTTTTATAAACGTTAGGAAACAGCTGAACATTTTAAAATAGGTACTATAATATTTGTGAATATTTTTTATCAAACTCTAAATATAAAGATGGTGTAAAATTATTAGATTTTTTGTTCAATCATTTCTTTAGCTGTATTGCTCTTTTTATTTATCATTTAAATAAATATATAAACTATAACTGTCAAAATGTCAAAGTCAAAAGTATAACTCAGTTTAAGAGATATGTACATACATAGTATAACCTGTTTCAATTCTAAAGTACAGATAAGATTTTGAAAGCTAAATATTACGCCAACTTCAAAACAGTTTTTATCCAATACTAACACAAATCTTATGCAGAATCTACTACTAACTATTTTACTAAAAAAAATCGGGTATAAAAAGATTTTCTAACCTATTCTAGCCTTAAGCATATTCCTCGATCTAGGTATTTTTATGTTATTCTTAAATACAATTCGTGTCTAGATGAGTATTCTATAGTTGAGAATACTTTATAGATATATGAATTTAGTTTTTTATGGCGTTTACTTTTTACGCAATCTCCTAAAAGTTAAAATCTAACTAGCCTTTAATAAAATGTTTACGAGGTTTATGATGTTTTATATATTATATTACTACCATAATGTTATAAATAAATTTAAGGATAGTTGGCATTATATTTCACCTTATTCTATTAAGGTTAGTTATTATTACAAGGAAACGTTTTGTAATTATCATCATAAATATGACAGGTAAATTAAGAATGGTATAGTTTATGCTTTTAAAGAAATGGTTAATAGCTTTTGCATGTATTATGTCAAATAAAACTCCTTAAATAATATAAACAATTTAATATTTATAATTTGAACAAATTATTCTTAAAACAGAAGTATCATAATTTTCTTCAAATTAAGAAAATAAAACTCATTATGTTATTTTATCTGTGTATATATTTTAATAAATTCCACATTATATTAACATAAATTGTACAAGTTTAATTAATCTTGGTGTTAACAGTCTAATCATAAACATTTTTCGGTATCCGAATGCCCGTCAGCAATCTTGACACTATACTATTTTTATTACCATCTGTACAGGGAAACCCAAACCATAGTGTACATAGACTATCATTAATCCATTATAAAGTTTTAAAAGATGATTTTTTATATTTCAATTAAAAATTTAAAACAATAAATAAATCAAATCAATTGAGAAATAAACTTAAATAAAAAAATTGTCTAAAGTTATGTGGTAACTTAATTTTTTTTTTTTATATGGCAATTTTTTTATAAATTTTACAGAGATATCCCATTGCTTAAAACTTAACTGAAACTTTAGAAATATTGTTTTTGTAACATGATATGGAATACCATTGTTTCAAAATTACAATGTAATACTTTAAATACCTTTATATGTACTTTGTGGAAAGGACTTTTATTTTTGCTTTACGATATATGGGGGCAAATAAGCAGACAGATCCCATGATGGTAAGGGATCACCACTGCCAATGGCATCCTTCAACTCAAGATTTATTTTTAAAATTATCTATACTTAGGGTACTTATTATGTATAACTATCTGGTGCCAGCAACTTTGTAAGAGTGAAATTTGAAAGTTTTATAGGGTTTTTCTGAGAGAAAAAATAGCCTTAGTTACTCTTTTTCTTACTCTGATTGTAAAATATTATCAAAATCCATCCAGCCGTTTTGAAGATTACCCGGAACAAACAGACAAAAAATATTGAAACTGGTTTTT